TCTACATCGATAACTTGATTAAAGTAAAGAACAAAATATTTGGTTAAGAGAGGAAACTGAAAACTTTCTCAGTTGACTAATCAGTGTTATATGGATCATGTAGCATGGTCTTTAGCCTGGAGCATGGAGGTTCCATGCTGTAATGAAAAGAGCAAGAAATAAAGGATCTGAAGGCCTGGGTTTAACCTTTTCTTTTAATTAATTTTTTAAGGTTAAATTTATTGGGGTGACATTGGTTAATAAAATTATATAGGTTTCAAATGTACAATTCTATAATACATCATTTATATATTGTATTGTGTGTTCACCACTAGAAGTCAAATCTCCTTCCGTCACCATGTATTTGATCCCCTTTTCCCTCTTCTACCACTCCCTCTCCCCCCTTACCCTCTGGTAACCACTAAACTGTTGTCTGTTTCTATGAGTTTTTGTTTCTTTGTTTGTCTTGTTTGCTTGTTGCTTTCAGTTTTATATCCCACATCTGAGTAAAGTCATATGGTTGGTTCTCGACTTTTTCTGTCTGACTTATTTTGCTTGGCACAATAATCTCAAGATCCATCCATGTTGTTGCAAATGGCAGTATTTCATCTTTTGTTATGGCTGAGTAATATTCCATTGTATATACACACCACATGTGGTAACCTTTTTTCTTCTTCTTTTTTTTTTTTGGTATCCTTCCTTTCCATCTTCAAACATGTATTGAGAATCTCCTATAGGTACAGTGAGACTGTTCATCTCCTTGTGTTGACAGTCAAGTGAGGGAGACATAAAAGCAGTGGCAATCACAGTATCACACGGTATCATATGGCAGATGCCATCATGCCATGACATGTGGTATTGTGGTAGTCCTCAAAGGGACTGGGTGGCTTTGGTTTATCACCTAACCTTGAACTGTTTACATAATTATATCTGTTCTACCTTCTTCATGAGGTTTTTGTGAGACTCAAAGGGTGTCACTATATGTTACAAAGTATTATGAATTGTAAAAATACTTGCAAATGTAGATACAGGTAATAACAGTAGTTTGATTGAATATGGGAATACCTTGTAAACTTGATAAATGAAATTTAACAATAAATTAACATTAATATAGAACTTATTTGTTTTCTCTAATTTGAAATCCTAAATTTTCATCTCCTTTTTGAAATCCCCCTCGATTCTTTTTGCAAAGAATATTCTTTATATGAATTAGTGCTCTCACACCACCTTTTCCATACTTCTATTTCTGCACTTACTACATTGTACTGTTATTACATATTTACAGTTTTATCTTCTCCACCAGACCTTCAGACTTTGAGAGCAGGGTTCGTGTTTGTTCATCCTTATGTTACCAGTGACAACCATATATACAAGGTGCTCAATATACGTTTGGTAAATAGATTTGAGAAGGAATTTTCCAGTGAGGTTTCTTTGTGTGTTTAATAATAGTATCTAATAGGCAAGACGGATTTTTGTTTTCTTTTTTTGGTCTCTTAAAGATAATATCCAGGCATGCAACAATAAAGAATTCTGGATGTTGTGTGCATCAGATTAGGTACTCTGAACATACCTGTGGTAGTCCAGAGGAAAACAGAAGAAAGTTTGCAGTGATACAATCATTGACAGAATGGAGATCATAGAAAACAGGAAGTTAGTGGGCTGAATAACCTACTCGGTATAGTAATGTTTTCAGGTATCTTAACCTCTTTCTTCACCACCAAAGTTCTTCAATTTCATCTTCTGTGGACCTCACATTTTCTTGTCTGTAGAAAATGGGATTGAACCGAATGGTCTTTAATGTGTCTTCTAGCTCAGTGATTCTATTTGGAGAGTGATGGTGGCTGTATTATTTTTTGGTGGATTTTCTTTATAAACGGCTCAATAAAATTAATCAAATGATGTGGAGATGATCTCTGCATTCTGTTAAATGTTATACACCTTCATTCTTCCCATGTCTTTATTGTACAAATATTATCAAAACAACATTAAAGCAAATTGGAGAAAAGGCAAAACATTCCAGGAGATAGGACTTAAATCAAGCTTTATAGGATGAAAGGTGTATGGGTCGATGAAAGATGGCAGGGGTGACCATGGAGATGGTGAGGAAGCACAGTAGCTTCATGCTAAGTAAGGGGTGTTGACGAAGCTCAAAGATTGGATTAGTGGAAGAGAGGGCTGAAATACCTTGGAAAGTTCTCATTTAATTCTGTAAGTAACAGGACCATGTTCAGGCAGGAAGAGAGGACAAAGTTGTACCTGCTGAATGTCATCAAAGGCTTGGCAGGGGATGAAACCAACACAAGCAAAAAGGAAGAGAAGAGGAAATTGCTCATGACACAACTGGCACAGGGCTCGATGAAGTGAAGAGAAAGACTGGGATGGAAGCAAGCTGTGAAAGGAGGGTTGATTTTGCCAAATAGTCATATCATTCAATTCAAGAGTTGGAAAGGATACTTACAGCTGGAGGGATATGGCAGCTCGGCAAGCCTTTACCTCTCCTGAGTATTTCTCATAACTGATAAAAGATTTATCTCAGCTGTCCAGTGCGGTTTGCAAAAATGTTTATTAATGAGCTGCAGGAGAGATTTCCTATCTTTGTTGAAAACAGGTGGATGTTTGAGTCTCTGGAAAACTAAATGAAGGCTAATTGGTTCTCTTATTTTAATAGCATTCCTTGGTCTCCAGTCTTGAAGCAGGCATATATCCAGAGCTGTTTTTTGGTTTTTTTTGGTGTTTTTTTTAATAATTATTATTAAAAGGAATGCTCTCACATGTATGCACTTTTTATTCTTATGTAATTGCTTTTTTTCCCTAGCATTTTTTGTATTCCTTTCTACTGCTTGAGTTTTGAATTCTAGAATTATTTCAGTATTATGCCATGTAGGCTCATAGAAGTTCCACCTGACAATACTGCTGGCAATTTATTTGTCAGTAAAACTGCCTGGCGTGTTCTTTTCTGTTTTGCATTCCTTTGCAGAGTCTTCCATTGTTTAGCCCTAAGGGAGTAGACTTTGCCGATTTTCCATATTCTTGGGACATGACTTTTACACAGCTAATGACTGTTCTGCTTTATATGGAATGTTTGCATTTTCACACAGTTCCTGCAGTTTCCTCTCCACTCCTTGTACATACTGCAAGGCATCTAATCTATGGTGAAGGATAGAGGCTTTTTTTTTTTAATGTAATTTCTAAGAAAAGCTACAGGGGTTATGGCAAACAAATTGTGCTTCTTTTCGTTTACCTCCTTTATTTAAAAAATCCTCCGGTCTGTTTTCGTATCACATTTAGCACATTATATAGAAGACTTGGCTAATTCATTATTACTTTTTGAAGTCAAAAAGTCCTTTTCTAGAAGTCTTCCATTGAGGTTAGAAAAATGTCTTATAAAAACTAAATGTTGTGGCCAGCCGAGTGGCTCAATTGGTTAAAAGCATGAGTTCTGAGCAACCATCGCCAGTTCGATTCCCACATGGGCCAGTGAGCTGCACCCAAGCTGAGCTGCCACTGAGCTGCCAACAGGTGGCAGGATGGCACACTGGTGAGAGCATGTGCTCCTAACAACAAGGTTGCCAGTTCAACTCCTGTGGCACCTTGAACTGAGCGACCCTGAGCTGCCAAGGGCCGCTGGATGGTGACTGGACTTGGAACTGAGCTAGCTGCGCCCTCCACAACTAAGACTGAAGGACAACAACTTGACTGTTCCCCTTCCCCAATTCCCCAATAAAATCTTAAAAAAAAATGCAAAAAAACAAAAACAAAAACTAAATGTTAAGTATTTTTTCTAATTTTGTACTTTAGTTGCTCATTATAGTTTTGAATGCAGCCTATGTCTTCATTAGATAAAACAAAACTTTCGTCCACCCTGAGAATTTAAGATGATATGTCTGTGCATATGATATTCAGATGAATTTTATAATGGTACTCTTATTTAAATGTATGGATGTTTCCTGGGGAAAGTAGTTAATGCCTATAAAGGCCACTTTCCCCTTGTCTATTTTAAAGGTTCATTATTTTTAAAGAAAATGATCTTTGTGGAGTAAAATGTTTACTGTAGACATGCTATAGCCTACAAAAAAAATATTACCAACTTAACCCACACTGTTATCTGAGCTCCTTCTCTTTTATATGTGTGTGTGCGCTCGCACCCCAAGGCAGTTTTTCTTTCCTTTTATGTTTTTTTAATTAAAATTTATTGGGGTGACAATGGTTAGTAAAATTACATAGGTGTCAAGTGTACAATTCTGTAATGCATCATCTACATCTCACATTCTCTTCACTTGACTTCGGTCCTGTCTTTCCAGTAAATGCCATGGTTCCCACCTGTTCTGGTTTGCTCAGTATGTCAGGGCAGTTATGAGAGTGGCACTGACCCCACAGGTAATCGTGGTGGTGAGAGCCAACTCAGGAAAGTACTGATCACGAAGAACATTGAACCCAGCCATGCGGAAGGAAGAGATAGGGTCTATTTCCTGACCTTTTACTGTCCTCACACCTGTGCTTCTGCAAGTTCTTAAAAACCCTGTGGGATAGGCCATGAAGGTCATTTGCTTTCTTTTCGTTTAGTTAATTAAACTTTTTTATTTTGAATTAATTTGGACTTATAGAAAAGTTGCTGGCACATTTATAATTTAAAGTTGAGAAAACAGAATCGCAGGACTAATACGTGATTTATTCACAATCCAACAACAAAGTCTGTGTTCAATAAATATTTACTGACTGGTGAGAGTAAAAAGGGACTGACACTGGGGTCCCCTGACTCTTTGTCTTGTGACATTTTTTACTACTCCTTAGCATTTTTTCAAGGCTAAAAGTCCACTTTTTTAGGTATTCACAATTTACGGCAAATTACAAAGTATTGTTTGGTAGCTATAAATTAAGAAAGGGTCTTGTTTTGCAGACTATTTCTTATTAACAAATAACCATGTAGTTTACAGTGAAAAGATAATTGCAAACACAATACATGAAAGTCTTCAATGCTACTGATTATTATTTATTTTCCTGTGTCATTTTTATCTTCACAGAAATTGGCCCAGTGACAATTACCACAGATCCCAAGAAATTCCAATATGAACTCCGAGAACTCTATGTTCAGGTGAGTGCTTGCTTTCAATTTTATTTCTTTTAGGGGAAAGGAAGATCATGAACTTTCGACTGATTTTCTTTATTTTTATATCTGAAAGAAGTAATTGTTGATTTTTTTAACCCAATGCCACTTCTTTTTCTCACTTGAGTACTGAATGAATTGGACCATGGATATGGGAGTGCGACAGATTGGGTTCAAAGTGTCATCTTCAGTTATGCATTGTCAGTGGCTGCTTTCATGCAGCAATGGCCAAATTGAGTAGTTGTGACATAATGTTTGGTCCACATAGTCTAAGATATTTACGTACTATATGACCCTTTACAGAAAAAGTTTACTGACCTCTGCTCTCGATGAGTTCCTTCATCGAGAATCATAAGGAACGGGGCTGGCCGAGTAGCTCAGTTGCTTAAGAGCTCACTCAAGAGTGCGAGCTCTGAGCAACAGTGGTTTGATGCCCAGCCCAAGCTGAGCTGCCAACAGGTGGCAGGATGGCTCAGCTATTAAAAAAAAAAAAAAAAAAAAAAAAAGAAAGAAAAGAAAAGAAAGAAAGAGAATCATAAGAAACGGTTAATTTTTCCCCCACAACAGTAATGGTATTATTAAGGTACTTTTGATAGCCTATGCTGTAAGTCAACCATATAAAAGTTTAGACAGTTAAGTATCATTTGGTTATTAGAGAAGAATAACATTGGTTTAAATGTTATTCTGGAAACAGGACTTGGAGACAAGTCTGATATGTACCTTCTCGGTGCTGCTTTGAAATCATTATTCCCAAATGCATTCATTAAAAATCACTCTACTATCCTCTATGGCTGATCTCTGCTGCAGTCATCTACAGACCTTTTCACCCCTGCTCATCACTTATCTAAGCTTCTGTACCCGGACCATTGGCTACCTTTCCCCATCAGGGCTGTCATCATACTTGGGGACCTCAACACTTACGGGAATGACCTGTCAGCACCTTCTTTCTTCATTTCCTTGACCTAGTCAAGTTTAATAACCTTTTCTTTATTCTGTTTCAGTCTTCTATTCCCACACATACCCCCTGGACCTTATCATCCCAACTAGCAACCCTCAGTTTTTCCTCTGTGTCTCTGAGACTATTTCTGTTTACATTACTCATTTATTCAGTTCCTTAGAATCCACGTATAAGTGAGATCATATGATATTTGTCTTTCTCTGACTGACTTATTTCACTTAGCATAATGTTCTCTAGTTCCATCCATATTGTTGCGAATGGTACTATTTCCTTCTTCTTTATAGCTGAGTAATACTCCATTGTGTAAATGTACCATAGTTTCTTAATTCAGTCGTCTACCAATGAACATTTCGGTTGTTTCCAAGTCTTAGCTATTGTGAATAGTGCCGCAATGAACATAGGGGTACATATATTTTTTCGGATTAATGTCTTGGGTTGTTTTGGATAAATACCTGAGAGTGGAATTGCTGGGTCATAAGGTAGTTCCATTTTGCAGTGGAAACATTTTATTCGCAACATATCAGGTGGCTATCTAGGTACTTTTTTTTAAAATTGGGGAATTGGGGGAGAGGAACAGTGTTGGAGAATTGGGGAAGGAGACCAGCCAAGTTCTTTTTCTTCAGTATTAGCTGTGGAGGGCGCCAGTTGCCATCTGGCTGCCCATCGGCAACTCGTGGCCTCAAAGCTCAAGGTGTGCTGTGTTATAATCTTAGTTGCAGGTGGGCGTAGCCACTATCCCATGTGGGAGTCGAACCTGCAGCCTTGTTGTTAAGAGCGCATGCTGTATCCACTGAGCCATTTGGGTGGCTGCTCAGCTCAAGGTGCCAAGTTCAGTCTTAGTTGCGGGCGGGCGGATAGCCCACCATCGAACAGGCAGCCTTGTTGTTAGGAGCACGTGCTCTCACCAGCTGAGCCATCCTGCCACCCATTGGCAGCTCAGCTCGGGCACAGCGTCACTGGCCCATGTGGGAATCGAACTGGTGGCCCTGTTGCTCAGAGCTCGCGCTCTTAAGCTAACTCTTAACCAACTGAGCCACTTGGCTGGCCCTAGGCAGTCTTTGATAATACTGACCTCTCTGTCCTTCTTGAGACCTTCTCTTTCCTTAACCACTCTCTCATTTTTCTTTCCACTTTTCCTCCGCTTCCTAGGTGGCTCATTTCCCTTTACTTGGACATCAAATATTGGGGTTTCTGAAGGTTTTGGAACTGGCCCCATTTTTTCTCGTACCTTATATTCTCTCTTTAGGCAAAATCCTCCATACCCATATAAATATGTTTCTAACCTAGACTTCTGCTTTGAGAAGCAGACCCTTATGCCAGTCTCTTGGATGTCACGGTGGCCCTCTAAAATGAACTCACAAATGTTCCCTTTCCACTGCCCCAAACTTGGCCCCCAACCCTTGCTCTTTGTCGTCTCTTTGTTAATTTCATTAATGATAGTTACAATATTTAGTTATACTACCAAAAATCTGAGTCCTTTTTAAGACATCTCTCCTTTCCCATCCCCATATCAAGTCTTCATTTTCAACTTTCTGAATACTTTTATATCAATGGAATTCTCTCCATTTCTACTGGCACCACCCTACTCCCAATTCCTGTAGCTTTAGTCGAAATGAATGCAAAAAGCGTCTAAGTGATTTTCCTGTGTTTACTCTTGCTTTTGTTTTCCAGCCTTTCTCTACTCTGCAGACAAAATTATCTCCAAGTACATCTCTGAACAATTTTTCCCATACTCTGTCCTCGCATCTCCTACCCTCACCTCATCAAATTCTTCCCAAGGTTCTGAGTGACCTGAGGCCTATCTGCCTTTCAGCCCTATCTAGTGCCTCAGTCTCCCTAGGCTCTCTGCTTTGCCTTGGGGCCTTGCATAGAACACCCTCTTTTCCCCATATCTGTGTCCTAACCAGTCTCCCCACAGAGCTTTTGCATGTGCTCTTCTCCTTGCATAGGAATTTCCTGTCCATCATCCTGCCCTCAATTCCATGCTCCCCTAACCTAGTTTAAAATTCTATATTCCAAGTTTCATCTGGAATATCAGTTCCTCAGAGAATCCTGCCCTATCCTCAAAGCTTGGTCATAATCTCATTACCTCTCTTCATCACAAAGCAGTGGAAGGACCATGTCTATCTGACTTAGCTCGTCATGGAATACCCTGGTAAAATGCCTGGCATATAGAGCATGCTCATTTTTTGATGAATGAAAGGAAAAATGAATGAATATACCACTATGTACAAATTAAGAGAGTCCAAATTAGATTTTGAGGTTTAATACCTTGGTTTCACTGTTGGATGAATGACCCGATTTAGAACTGTATCTGGTTTGAGCATAATTGGGGCATATGGTGAAAACCCAAAGTTCAGTATTCCAAATATGTATTCAGTCATTATTCTTTTATCCTACATGTCTCTATTTTTAAAACTATATACTCAATTGAATTATATTTCATAAGTATCCAAATATCTATAGGTTTTATATGGGCATCCCTTGGCTGTTTTTCTCTTTTACTAAATTTCTTCTGATAATCATCTCTATCAATAATCTTCCATTTCCTTTCTCTTACACCACATTATTCTTTTTCAGTCATTACCTTGATACTTATTTATAATTTATTTTTCTGTTTCTCAGTATAGCCAATTCTTTGCCACTTTGGATGTCCAGATTCTCTGAAAAAATCTTCATATAAAAATTTCCTCTACATGAATTGCAGGAATTAGAAATTTTATTGCCCTGATTGTTTAAATTTTTATGTTCCCCTATTGTACCATGAGCTCTTGAGGCAACAGTCTTGTACCTATCATTGAGCGTCTCATGGACCTGTGGAATGAATTAATGTCTTCAGTAGAGTGAGCTTAAATAGCTGTTGAAGAAATGACTGTCATATGAGGGTGCCTTTACTTGATGGTACAAAAGATACCTTAAAAACCTAGTGATTAATTTTTATTACAGAGATTCAGAAGCGCCACGTATGGAGATTCTTAGCTGATAGAATATTAGGAAGGGATTTACTGTATACATTTTTTTTTCTCTGCAACAGTACAGCTGGGCTACATTCTTGGATATCTGGCCAGAATGAAAATACCTATATTCTCAATGAGACCTGGCACTGACACTTCCTGATTTCCTGCCTCTCCCTTTCTTTTGTTCTGAAGAATTTTCAGGGAGTGCCCATCCTCCTTGCTTCATTTATCTCTAGAGTGAAGGCTGTGATGCCTGACTCTTACTCCATTGGGTCCCTCCCCTGAGCACCATCCTCCCCCCTCGCCCCAGCTTCTGAAATTGAACCTGATACAGACACTCTGCAGCTCATATCATAACTCTGTTCAAGAAAATAATCTTACTTTCTGTCTGCTGTGGAATGAAAGGCGGTGTCCATCCATTTCTCTGGAGCTTTCCTGTGGACTGGCTGTATCTTATAGATGCATTTTTTGCGTTGTCTTGGGAGCCAATAGAATGCTTAATTAGAACAACCAGCCAGGGAAGAAACCAATATTTACTTTTTCCCTTCATTCAACACTGGGCACTGTTAGAGGCATTGAGGAGGTATTTTTACTTTCAAAGTTTCTAGTGAATTATTCTTTTTAAAATCAACGGCAAAACATTTCATTAAGTCAGTGTCAACTATGAGAAGACTCTGGGCGGCATCACCACTTCTATGCTAAAGAATATATTTTATTTTCTCTTCACTGTTTGCTTAGAGAATATTTTATTATTTCATAAACCAGTCTGAGAAACTAAACTTCACAAATTTCATCAAATTTTAGTACGCAATACTAAAGTTGTGCTGTGTGTGATTTCCAGAACCTTTTTCTGTTCTCTCCTTCTACCATTTTAAATAATTCCCCCCAAATCACTGATATCAGGAGCAAAAAGAATTGCTGTCCTATTACAAATAACTCGGGCTTTTTACAAAGAAAAACTTTAAAGATATTCCTTTTGCATTTGTAATCGTTTTGAAAACCAGAAAAGTAAATTCAGTTTGAAGTAAATTAAATAATCACCCATTAACATTTCACTAGGCTCAGCTATTTTT